TAATTCTATCAACAATAAAAAATATATTTTTTTTAAAAAGGCCCTAGCCAGTTTCGCTCAATGGATAAAGCATCGGCCTGCAGACTGAAGGGTCCTGGGTTCGATTCTGGTCAAGGGCACATGCCCGGGCTGCGTGCTGGGTCCCCGGTGGGGGTGGTGCAGGAGGCAGCCGATCGATAATTCTCTCTCGTCGTTGATGTTTCTATCTGTCTCTCACTCTCCCTTCCGCTCTGAAATCAATAAAGGTATTTAAAAAGGAAAAAAGAGAAGCAGCTGTTGGGAGCAGCGAAGGGCTCTGGGTCGGCACCGGCTCCCCGGATGACCTTGACAAATACACTGACCCTCCCTGGACTCGGCCCTGCCCTCCCTGATGCTGCGAGAGGCGCACGGGGGGCCAGGCCGGGGCCGGGGGAGCCCTGGACAGCCGGCTCCCTCACTGTCGGTGGGGCCGACTGGCTCTCCCCGAAACCCTACCCCGAGGGAAGGTCAACGAATTCGCATCACAGGAAAATCTGACGTCTGCTCTGTTCTCTAAACTGTTTTCCGTTTCCAAGAGATGGCTGCGCCTTGCTAATAAGCAAAGGCCTTGTTTTTCCACCTTCAGTCCTATAAACATCAAAGGGGGAAAGGCCTTGTGATCCATCAAACACCGGTTCCAGCATTTTTAAAAAGTCAAGGGGAGATGAAACAGATGACCCTCCAGTTGAAAAAGAAAAAAAGGAAAGAAAGAAAAAACGTGGCCTCACTCCAAAACCCGGAATACCTTGAGTTATCGAATCTCCACTTTCCCGGCAGAGGCCTCGGAGGAATATTCCAGAACTGCCCAAGGCCCGGCCCCGATACCGCCAGGCCTCTCGGGCCCCGAGGCGAATCAAACCCTGAGTAAGAAAGCCAAGGTCAAACCTCAGAGCAGCGGTTCTCAACCTTCCTAAAGCCGCAGCCCTTTCATACAGTTCCTCACGTGGTGGTGACCCCCAACCATCAAATTATTTTCGTTGCTTCTTCGTCACTGTAATGTTGCTACTGTTATGAATCGCCATGTCAATATCTGATAGGCAGGATGTATTTTCATTGTTCCAAATCGAACATCATTAAAGCATAGTGATGAATCACAAAAACAAGATGTAATTATGTATGTGTTTTCCGATGGTCTTGGGCGACCCCTGTGAAAGGGTCGTTCGACCCCCAAAGGGGCCGCGACCCACAGGTTGAGAACCACTGCCTCAGAGGGAAGGCGGGGGAGGGTGGGTGGGTGGGAAGCGATCAACCAGAGAACCTGTGTCCAAGGTTTATATGCATGAGCCATGGACACAGACAATAGGGTGGTGAAGGCCTGGGGTGGGGGTGGGGGTGGGGGTGGGCTGGAAGGAGTCAGTGGGGGCGGGGGGAGGAAGGGGACATACATAATACTTTCAACAATAAAGATTTTTTTTTAAAACAAAGACTCCACATTTTTTTTAAAAAAAGCCAAGGTCGAAGTCAGAATGCATGTCCGTGAAGCCAGAATATAAAATTCAGATCTCTGCCCTGGCCGGTGTGGCTCAGTGGATAGAGCGTCAGCCTGCAGACTGAAGGGTCCCGGGTTCCATTCCGCTCAAGGGCACATGCCCGGGTTGTGGGCTCGATCCCCAGTGTGGGGTGTGCAGGAGGCAGCCGATCCATGAGTCTCTCTCATCATTGATGTTTCTCTCTCCCCCTCTCCCTTCCTCTCTGACAGCAATAAAAAATAATTTAAAAATAAATAAATGGACTAAAATTCAGATCTCTGACTATATATATGTATATAATTTTTAAGGGGGCCACAATCAGGGGGAAGGGAACCATCTCCCCCTGGTCCCCCTGAGCCGGGCGTCTGCTGAGGGTGAGGGGACATGGGGGACGGGGGGGGGGGGGGGAGAGGGGGAGGGAGGCGTCAGAGCTAGAAATCTCCCAGAACATCCGCACGCACCGTCCGCCCTCCATCCCCTGGCCCCTGGGTCTCTGCGGCGGCTCAGGCTCCCGAGGACAACGTCTGGTCAAAACATTTACATTCCTGCCAGGCCAAGATCCATGGGGCTCGCAGCCCAGCGTACACAGCCTTTCACGGGAAGATGGAGCGAGGACGCTGGCCGCTTGTGACAAATGAGCTGGTCTTGCCAGGCGTCACTTAAAGAACGCAAGAGCCCGTGCTCTGCCGGCGTGGGCTCCTACAGATACAAGTTTTATAACTTCACTGACAACTTTTGATTGAAGCTTCATTAAGAGAATGGAGCCCGGCCGCCGTGGCTCAGTGGTTAAGCATCGACCTATGAACCAGGAGCTCACGGTTCGATTCCAGGTCAAGGGCACGTCCCTGAGTTGCAGGCTCAGTCCTCAGTGTGGGGCGTGCAGGAGGCAGCCGATCCATGATTCTCTCTCATCATTGATGCTTCTCTCTCTCTCTCCCTTTCCCTTCTTCTCTGACATCAATAAAAATATATATTTTTTTTTTAAAAAAAGAACACAAAATGCAACATGACGAGAGCAAGGCCTTACCCTGTAGAACACCCCAAAACCGGTCTTGCACTGGAGTTTTTCACCAGGCAGCTAGGGTAGTAATGGCGAACCTAGGACACGCGTGTCAGAGGAGACACGCGAACTCATTTTTTTTTGGTTGATTTTTCTTTGTTAAATGGCATTTAAATATATAAAATAAATATCAAAAATATAAGTCTTTGTTTTACTATGGCTGCAAAGATCAAAAAATTTCCATATGTGACACGGCACCAGAGTGAAGTTAGGGTTTTTCAAAATGCTGACACGCCAAGCTCAAAAGGTTCGCCATCACTGAACTAGGGGATGCCCAAGTGTGGGTCCCCAAGCCAGAAAGCGTGTGGGAGCCTCGAATCCGGCAGGGGATTTTAGTGGGGTCCCCCTGGGGACTCAGGGGCCACTTCACCCCGGGTGCTGCCCCACCTTTTCCTCTCTCCCTCCCACAGCCTCTCAGTCTAGCAGCCCCGCCCACCTCTCCCCTGCATCCAGACAGGGTTGCCTTCAGGGCGTGGCCCCCCACTGTCAAGGCCCAGCCAGGGCTGTGGCTGAGGCTCAGGAATATGCATTTTAAAAAAATACGTTTCTATTAACTTCAGAGAGGAAGGGAGAGGGAGAGAGAGAGAGAGAGAGAAACACCAATGATGAGAGAACATCATGGATCGGCTGCCTCCTGCACACCCCACACTGGGGATCAAACCCTGACCTCCTGGTTCATAGGTCGACGCTCAACCCACTGAGCCACAGGGGCCGGGCAGGAGTGTGCAGGTTTAGCAGGCATCCCAGTGACCCCGATGCTCCTGGATTGGAGTGGGGACCAGATCTCCGAGGGCAGAGGGCCGGCCTCTCCCCCGGGCTGCATGGCCGTGCCTGCTCCCATGGGCGCTCCCACGGGCTCACACCAACCTCACCACTCGCCGGTCAGGAGGCTGCCGGACACGCAGGGGAGCCGGGCTTCTGGGTCCCAGACCCCGCGAGCGGCCGGAGTCCGGAAGGCGAGTGAGTGTCACCGTGCTGAGTCCCCCCGGATGCCGCCTGCCTGCTCTCCGACGGCTTCCTCTCCAGAAACCACACAGGACAGTAAAAGCAGAGAAAGGAACGCCGTTAGCCCCCAGTGAAGGTTATTTTGAATGAAAGTGGTGCGTTTTGACTCACGGGGTTGAAACCGGATGAGCGATGAGTCAGGGGAGCAGCCACCGCAGCGGCTCTGAGTGAAGGTGAGGTGCCGGCGGGCGTGCCGTCTGGGGCCCCGGCTTCCCACGCTTTGCAGCGCGACCGTCGGGGCCTGGGGTCAGTCTGGGGCATCGGCTGCCGTGTCAGCTCCCAAGGACGCTGTGTTGTCACCGGTGGGATTCCCCGGCCGCCCACACAGCCCACCCACCCGCAGAGCAGCTGAGCCTGAAGATGCCTGTGGTGACATCATCGCCGCTGGCGCCCAGAAAGTGGCTGGGAGTCACTGGAGGGAGACACAGGCCATCGGCGCCCCCTGCTCCCAGGCGCCTCCCTGACGCTCCCACCCGGTCGCCCAGCTCTCAAGAGGCAGCCGCTGCGAGGGCAGAAACGTGAAACTGAAGTTGGACAGACCTAGCCTGGCCGGGCTCGGTGGTTGAGCGTCAGCCTATGAACCTGGAGGTCACGGTTCGATTCCCCGTCAGGGCACCTGCCCGGGTTGTGGGCTTGATCCCCTGTGTGGGGCGTGCAGGAGGCAGCCGGTCCATGATTCTCTCTCCTCATTGATGTTTCTCTCTCTCTTCCTCTCCCTTCTTTGAAATCAATAAAAAAAATATTAAAAACAACAAAAAAACCTTTGCTTGGAAAGAGTCCCAGGCAGACGAGCTTACACGGCGTCCCTGGAAACCGACGGCTTTCCGGGCCACCCAGGTGCAGCCCCAGGCCCGCTCTGCGGGGGGGAGAGGATTGTGCGAGCACAGAGGCCTCTTCTTGCTCCGCCTGGGAAAGCAGCAGCTGCTCTGGGCTCCTCTGTCCAGGAAACGCGTCAACAACGCGGAGAAAATTCAGAGAAAAGCAACGAAGATGATGAATGAGCTGGAAGAGCCAGCAGTGGCCCTGGGCCGGGGGTTGGGGGGCGGGGGGCACACTGCCTGGCGGGGCAGGATGGGCATCGTGCGTGGGGAGGGGCCGCAGACACAGGAAGGACTGTTCAGCTGGCCCCAGGCATCCGTACTGCGGAGTAAAGGGAGTGAGAGGGAAAAGGGGGGGGGTCACCCCAGCCGCTGTGGCTCATTGGATAGAGCATCAGCCTGCCGATGGAAGGGTCCCAGTTCGACTCAGGTCAAGGGCACGTACCTTGGTTGCAGGCCCCAACCTGACTCTGGTTCGGGCGCATGCAGGAGGCATCCAATCGATGTGTCTCTTTCACATCGATGTTTCTCTCTCTCTTCCCCTCTCTCTAAAAATCAATGGGGAACTATCCCAGGGAGAGTATTAACAAAACGAAAAAGGGGTGTGTCGGCTGAGTGCCAGGGGACGGGATGGAAAGCGCGAGGCTGTGCTACGCCTGCAGAATGGTGTTTGGGCAGCTGGGGAGCCCTGAGCGCTGGGGGGAGCCCCGGGCCCTGGAATTAAACCCCTGGGCAGGTAGAGCGAGTGAGGCCCCTGAGCCGCTGCCCCCCTGGGCCCAGCCCTCGGCAGCCCACACCCCAGAGTCACTGGGAGTCATGTCAGCATCGCCCTCCCCACAGCGGCAGGGGCCTTGGGTGCAAGTCTTCCTTCCTTGGTCCCTAGAAGCCACTGGACCCACTAGTGACGCTCCACCTGCCTGTAAATCACCCCCAAAGTGATATTTTTCTTTTCTTTTTATTTCGAGGTGATATTTTTCCATTGATTTATTTATTTTTTATTTTTATTGATGTCAGACAGGAAGGGAGAGGGAGACAGAAACATCAATGATGAGAGAGAACCATGGATCAGCTGCCTCCTGCACGCCCCACACTGGGGATCAAGCCCACAACCCGGGCCTGTGCCCCGACCGGGAATCAAACTGTGACCTCCTGGTTCCTAGGGCCACGCTCAGCCACCGAGCCACGGGCCGGGCTGCTCTCGGCCTTTTCACCTGCTCCCCACGCAGCCCACGTGGCCCGTGTGGAGGCTCCAGCCACACCTGGGAGCTAGCTCATCAGGAGCCATCACAGACACCTGTCATCCTCCGCGGCCAGGCTCTTGGTCATGACCGGCTCCGGTCTGATTTCAGGAGCCGGCAGGAGCCAGCGCCGCCCTGCAGGCGGGAGGCAGGGCGGGGGACAGAACCGAGCCGCCTCGCCCGAACACCCCGTGCCCTCGGCTCCTGTTTCACGGGATTTGAGCGCTCGGGGCTGCTTGTCCGCCCGCGTGTGTAACAGGGCACCTCCTGGTTGTGAGAAAAGGGAAAGCCTGTAATCCACACCTTGGTATAGAAATGTGTGTTTACCCAGGTGAGGGGACGGGGAGTGATCTCGGGGCCAGCTTCCCGCTCTGCACCCCACCCTCAGCCCAGGGTACCCCCCTCCCTGGCCACCCAAGAAGGGTGTAGGAATTCCTGCTCGCACACCACGTGGTCCACAAAAATCTCTCTTCACAACAACCAAAGAACAGTATTGTGTTTGCATGAATATGTGTTGTTAGCCCAGCCGGCGTGGCCCAGTGGTTGAGCATCGACCTATGAACCAGGAGGTGATGGTTCGATTCCCAATCAGGACACAGGCCCGGGGTGGGGCTCCATCCCAGTGTGGGGCGTGCAGGAGGCAGCCGATCCATGATTCTCCCTCATCGTTGATGTTTCTCTTTCTCTCTCCCTCCCTCTCTCTGAAGTCAATAAAAATTTAAAAGAAAAGAAAATAAGTACATTAAAAACAAACAAACAACAGGCGGGTTTGGACAGAGGGAGGCCGTCATTCCCACGGCGAGTGCCTGTCGGAACAGGAGACGTGCCCGAGCACCGACGGGAGCGAGAGCAGCCGCAGAAGGGCCCGCCCGCCCGCCCGTGGTCCCCGGGCATCGGCGGGGCCGCTCCTGGGCCCTGAGTCACTGGATGGGCATGTGCCGCCGGGACCAGCTCCGCCGGCCGCCGCCACATGCCGGGCCTCGTTCCCACGTCCCGGGGCGGGCAGCGGGTGTGGTCTGTGCGGCAGGTTTGCATCGACGCAAAACACATTCCCGGCTCCTCGCGCCTTTCGACACGTGCAGTTTCTGGGGCTGGATGACCCTGACCTGGGGAAGATCCCTGATGACTCACCCGTCGGCCCACTCAGCCCCCAGGGAATGGCCCGTGGGGCACGCCTCCTGCTCAGCCCGGGGGAGCCCACGGGGACGGGGCTGGGCCCCAGGATGGCCCCACCGGGAGGGCTCCTCTGGCGGGCACAGCCCCTGGCGGGCCGCATAGGTGGAGCTCTCAGGTTTACAGAGAGAGAGCAAGACAGCCGACCCAGGAAGAGCCACCTGTGTCATTTCCTCGGGTCACCACAGAGGGTCACACCTGTCACAGCATCCGAAAGAGCCTGGCCGTGTGGCTCAGTGGTTAGGCATCAACCCAGGAACCAGGAGGTCACCTCGATTCCCGGTCGGGGCACACGCCTGGGTTGTGGGCTGGATCCCCAGTGTGGGCAGGCAGGAGGCAGCCGGTCCATGATTCTCTCTCATCACAGGTGTTTCTCTCTCTCTCCCTCTCCCTTCCTCTCTGACATCAATAAAGATACACATGCATTTTAAAAAGAGCTCAGCCAGCGATGGCAGCGAGGCAGCTCCCGCCTGTGATTGGCCCTTTACCCCCTGAACACGGGGTTCCTTTCTGGAAAGAGGGGCGGAGTGAGGTGTGGCCAGGGACCCCAGGCCTCGGGGCTCCTGGGCCGGCTGCCTCGCACGGCCTCGTTTCCAGAAGCTTCCCTCCGCCCTGCCCCGTGGGGAAGGTGCCAGGCCACCCCGCGGGCTTGGCTGGGGAGCCGCGTGCCTCCTTCCTCCCGAGTGCCCCAGCCCGGGCGCTTCCCGAGGTGACGCGTGACCTGGATCCGCGCGGTGAGGTCACGGCGTTGTCTCAGCCGCCTCCCGCTGCGGCCTGACTCACGGCCGGTTCCCAGGAGCAGCTCAGGCAGCAGCGGACGCCTCCCGGGCCGGGCCGGGCCAGGGTGACCACACTCACAGCCACCGTCTGCCCAGGTGCCAGGCCCGCCTTGGCCCGCCGCCCCCGCAAGCACAGTGGCAGGGGCGTGGGAAAGTGGGGCGGGGAGGGGGGCGGGGGTGGAGGCCAGAGGACCGGGCTCATTCCCAGCCCTCCCTTTGCTGTTGGCTGTGGACGGAGAACCTCTCTCAGGTGCTGCCTCTGCACTGGAACCCGCCAGCCATGCTGTGAGCTGTGGGGGGGAATCCAGTGAGGACGTAGCCGCGAAAGCACCGATCAAGGGACAGCAGTTCTGTCGGATGAAAACAGGACCACAGTTCGGCCGGCGTGGCTCAGTGGTTGACCTATGAACCAGGAGGTCACGGTTCGATTCCCGGTCAGGGCACAGGCCCGGGTTGCGGGCTCCATCCCCAGTGTGGGGCGTGCAGGAGGCAGCCGATCAGTGATGCTCTCTCATCATGGATGTTTCTCTCTCTCCCTCTCTTCCTCTCGGAACGCAATGCAAATCTATTAGAGAAGGAAAAGAAAAGGCGGCTGTCATCCCCCTTCGGTCATTCCCTGTGCACAGCTGTCCCCTCCCCGGGGGACGCTCGTCCCTGGTCCAGCTCCTGCTGGTCCTCCTGTGGGCGCCTCCTGCTGCCCAGCTAAGGGGTCCTCTCCCGCCCGCCCCTCCCTCCTGCCAGGCTCTCCCGTTCTGTTCTGTGTTACTTTCCTCGTCGCCCGTGGCCCTCTCCAACATGGTTCCTCCTCCTTTTATTTCTTAAATCTTCACCGGAGGTTAAGTTTTCTTTTCTTTTTTAAAATTGATTTTAGAGAGAGAGAAAGGGAGAGGGAGAGAGAAACATTGATGTGAGAGAGAAACGACGATCCGTTGCCTCCTGTACACACCCCGACCAGGAGTCGGACCCGCGACCTGGGCATATGCCCTGAGTGAGAACTGAACCTGCGACCTTGGGTGGACGGGATGACGCTCCTGCCCACAGAGCCACAAAGTCCAGGGACACATGCTTTTTCCTTCATGTTGTGTTTGCCCATCTGTGCCATGTCAGCTCCCCAAGGCCGGGGGTGGGGGGTGGGGGTGGGCACGCCAGCCTCATGGCCCATGTACCCTGGGCAAAAGGCTGGGCCACCCTCTGCGAGCCCAGGAACTGGGAGCAGTTCTTGCTTGCAAAGTCCCGACACCTCCCGGGTCACCTGCGGCCAGTGCCAACGCCTCGGACCGCAGGCCGTGACCCAGTTCCTGGGTCTGCGGCCGATGCCCTGAGCCTCCCACCTCCGCCTCCTCCCTGAGGCCGCCCAGCACCCCCGGGGCCGGGACAGGCTGAGTGCGGCTCTGACCCAGAGTCCGGTGGGAGGGCACCTCCTCCCCTCCCTGGCCCTGCCACCTGGCCGGGCAGGTTTTCAATGTGCCCATCTGTACGCCGGGGACAAAGAATGCTTTGTCACCCCACCTACTTCTCACGGGTGTTATGAAACCACTGTTTGCTCGGAAAACACTTTGAGCAACTTGGGGAAAGGTGCCCATGGCTCCGGTGACGCTGCTGCACCCGATCCAGGCCGGCCAGCCGTGCCAACTCGTCATCCGGTCACCACCTCGCCCGCCCCGGGGAAGGGAGGTGCCAACCAGCCCACCAGCTGTGCTGTGGCCCCAGATGAGGCCCACGGGGTGTGTGGGTTCCGGGGCTGGCTGACCCACAGATTTCAGCAGAGGACCAGCTCCGCGGGCCCGGGCAGAGGCCACCGGGTGCCAGGAGAGCGAGGTTACCTGGGGATAGTGTGTCTGAGCTCATGCGCAGGCGGGCGCGCTGGGAACACGGGCTCGCGGTCCTGGCTCCAGGCCCGGAGGGCAGATCTGAACCTGCAGACGCTCAGGTGCCCCTCACCGGCAGCCCGGGCAGCCGCCACCCTGTTGTCCTGACAACCACACCTGGCACTCTGCCCCCCGGGGAGGGGCAAGGCCCAGCACTGACCAGGCACACGGTGGGGGAAGCCCAGACGCCTGCAGAGCCAGGGGACAAGGGTCCAGCTGTCCTTCTGCTGACAGTCAGGACGTCCCTTCCCGATGTGGGGTTGTGAGGACGAGAAGAGATAAACCAAAGACCTTATATGCACAGCCATGGACACGGGCATAGGGTGGTGAGGACCTGGGAGGAAGGTGAGGGGCTGGATATACCTGTAATACTATCAACAAAAAACAGGCCTGGCTGGCGTGGCTCAGTGGTTGAGTGTCGACCTATGAATCAGGTCAGGGTTTGATTCCGATCAAGGGCACATGCCCAGGTGGTGGGTTTGGTCCCTAGTGTGGGGCGTGCAGGAGGCAGCTGGTCAATGCTTCTCTCTCATCATTGATGTTTCTCTCTCTCTCCCTCTCCCTTCCTCTCTGAAATCAATACAAATATATTTTAAAAAAATAAGAGACTTCCCTTCCGACCGGACACTGGACTCTGAGCTCCCCGCAGGCCCTGCTGCCCTGGCGGGCCGGGCGCGGCGCAGGCCGGGACCCACAGGCCGCGGGCACCGTAGACGGTAACTCCCGGCTGGGCGGGGCTGGCTGTCTACGGTGGCGTGTCTGCCTGTTACTCATTCTATTTATTTTCAGCCGAAGCGGGGGAATCTTCTGAAGATGAGTCAGAAAAAAGTCCTCCATTGTTATGGAGGCAGAGGCGGCTCCCGAGGGCGCCTATACCTTCGCTGTCGGCACCGACGGGGAAATCGAGGGCCCAGCAACACGGTCTACACCGCCGCGGCCTTCCTGGCGCAGTCCCTCCAGCCGGGGCCTGGACCTCGCGCCGGAGCACGCGGCGTGGCACCTGCTGTCCCCTTCTCTGGTCGACAGTGTTTCAGGCCCTGGCAGGTGTGGCTCAGTGGACAGAGTGTTGGCCTGTGGACGGAAGGGTCTCGGGTTTGATTCCGGTCAAGGGCACATGCCCGGGTTGCGGGCTGGGTCCCTGGTAGGGGGCGTGCAGGAGGCAGCTGATCAATGACTCTCATCATGGATGTTTTTCTCTCTCTCTCACTCCCTCTCTGAAAGCAATAAAAATGTTTAAAAAACAAAAACAAACAAAAAAAAACAGTGTTTCAGCTAAAACACTGGAGGGAGGCTTTTCCCTCCTCGTGAAAGGCTGGTCCTCCGCCCACAGCCCACGCGTCCTTAGTCACAGCGCCACGGATGCCCCGAGTCCGACGAGATCCCCCCTCACCCGGCAATCCCCCCTCGGCCCCGTGCCCGGCAGGAGTGGTCAGATAACCACGCCGACTCATTTCAGCTGGACGTGGCCTCGCACCCGTGTCCGTGTCCGGCGTCGGCGAGTTCGGTGAACGCGCTTGTTTTAGGGGACCCGTTCCTGGGCCACTGTCCCTGGCAGCCCTCTCCTCCCTGGGGCGCGCGAGGCCCTGCCCCCCACTCCCCCCGAGGGAGCTGGAGGAAGGCCTGCCCTGCAGAGCCCTTCGCAGGGTCAGAACTCCTCCTCGGATGATAAACGCGCTCACTTGTCTTGTCTGCTCCCCACCCCCCGGAAGGCTGCGCTGTTTTGGAAAAAGGGGGGGGGGGGTGTGCGTGAGTGAGTTCATTCCCCGAATCTCCGAGCTCCCACTGATCCCCATTCGAAGGCCACACTCTGTTCCCGGGTCACACAAGCAAATGCTTCTCTCTCCCCCTCTCCTCCTCCCTTCCTCTCTGAAGTCAATAAAAATGTATTTTTAAAAAAATGTTCAAAATGGGACTTGTCGCATCTGCTTGCCTCCGACAGGTGGCCCTTGGGCTGCGGCGTCAGGCCGCCTGGGCACCCTCTGTGGGCACCTCCCGTGGGCATCCGCCCCACCCCACCGTGGGCAGCAGGCAGGGGGCCGGGGCGCGGTGCTCCCTGGCCAGGGCCGCCTCCGCCCGCCTCTCCTGCAGGCCGCTGGGCGCCCGCATGTCACAGGACTTGTTCTTAGAGTTACATTTTAACTGACAGAGTTTAACAACAACCGGGATCTAAAATTGGCAGCAGAAAAAGGAACTGAGGAAGTAAGTCATGGAAAAAACCACAAGGGAAGCCACGCCGCACCAGGCACAGGCTCTGCTGTGTGTTTTTCCTTCCTGTGTGTGTTAGTGTGTGCGTGTGTGCGTGTGCATGTATGTGTTGGTGTGTTAGTGCATGTGTGGGTGCATGTGTGTTATTGTATATGAGTGTGAATGTGTGCGCGCGCACGTGTGTGAGTGTGCGTGTGTTGGTGTGTTATTGTTAGTGTATATGAACGTGCATGTGTGTTAGTGTGTGTGAGTGTATGAGCATGCATGTGTGTTATTGTATATGCGTGTGCATGTGTGTTTGTGTATGCGCGTGTGTGAGTGTGCATGTGTTGGTGTTATTGTGTGTGAGTGTATATGAGTGTGCATGTGTGTGTGTTGGTGTGTGTGTGCATGTGTGAGTGTGTGTGATCTGAGGGTAGAAAACATTTCCCAGACGCACTGTCCTGGCGTCCCCGGCACGAGCTGTGCTGTTTACCAGGCGCAGCTGCGGAAGGGCTGGCGGCGAGGGCTCCGCCATGTGGCTGCCCAAGGGGCTCGTCCTCCGTGTCCCCAGGACACAGGTTTCCTCCCACACCCTCACCTTGGGCACCGCGCACCCGAGAGAGGACCCCCACAGCTCGGAGGGACCTGGGCCATGGCTGCCTCCTGGCCCTCGAAGCCGCTCCTCACACTGGGGACCCGCAGGGCATTCAAGTGACACGTGCTTTGTCGTGTTTAGTCACTCGAAATCCTCACACAGACACAAAACAAAACAAAAACGTGTTTCGAGACTCATTTCACAAATACCTGGGAGCTGGAGGGGCCTGGGATCTGAGCAACATCAGGGCAGTTTCTGCACTTCCGAGTGCCCGCGGAGCCTGCGGGTCAGCCTGGTCCAAGTCTGTCCACCCCTGGCGCTGGGCCCAGGACACCTTGGCGTTGACCCCCACCCCCACCCCCACCCCCACCCCAGGAATCCTGGCAGCAGCTCACCTGCACCCTAGGCCGCGCTCTCAGGGCTGGGTGGGGCCTCTGCTGACCTCCCGCCCCCACGGGGCCTAATGAAGCCGGTAGTCACCTGCTCCCCGGTCACCTGGGGTAGCCGCCCGGCTCGGGGTGGCCAGGATGCTCCTGGGTTGAGGCAGCACCTGCCCGGCTGTGCCAGGGTCAGCGGAGGGTGGCCGCCCACCTGCACTCCAGAAGGTTGAGCCCCGGCCCCTGCCAAGGGTCAGATGGCCCCAGGCGGGCGGAGAGCACATCTAGCGCCATCAAGGGGACCCGGAGGCCTCAGCGTCTGTGCTGCAGGGGCCACTCTAAGTTTGGCAACGGCCGCCTCATAGTTCACACGGTTTCATAAGCCTCCAAGCCTGGCCGGTGTGGCTCAGCGGTTGAGCGTCACCTGTGAACCAGGAGGTCACAGTTTGATGCTTGGCCAGGGCACATGCCCGGGGCTGTGGGCTTGATCCCCAGTGTGGATCATGGAGGCAGCCGATCCATGATTCTCTCATCATGGATGCTTCTCTCTCTCTCCCTTCCTCTCTGAAATAAAAAAGAAAAAAAAAGCTAGAGGGGATCTAAGAGAGGAAGCAGAGGGGCTTGTTTTCTGGAGGGTGCTCCCAGCGCCCTCCCCTGCTCATAGCCAACCTGTGTTAGCCACTGAGCCACGGCGGCCGATCCCTGGCTCTCCATGCCCTCTCCTGCAGGGGAGCTGGGAGCCCAGAGCTCCCCCACACAGAGAATGATCCAGATCTGAGGAACGGGATACCTGGGTGGGAGCAGAGAGCGGGCAGAGGGCTCTCCAGTCTCTGCCCTCCGCAGCGCGGGCCTGGGAGCAGAGCAGCAGGAAGCGGCTACAAGAAATGGCTCTGCTCTGTCCGTGTGGAGGGAGGTGGTGGAAATGACAGTTTGCAGAGGATCTGAAGGGGGAGCTGCTTCTCTCTCCAGCTCTAACAGCGCCACCCAGTGGCTCTGCAGGGTGGGTGCAGGGCAGAGGGCACCTGCTCACTGCCACCACCAGCCTGTGGCCCCTCAGCCAGGTAGCTGAACATGTCCCTAGAGCCGTCTGCAGGAGGCAGGGCAATAGCTCCCGTGGGCACGCACAACAAACCCCAGTGGGCACCCCAGCTCAGCCCCCTCCGCCAGGCGCTGCCTTCTATTTATTTATTAATCCTCACCCTGGGATATTTTTCCATTGATTTTTAGAAAGCACAGAAGGGTGGGTGCGAGACAGAGAGAGAAACATTGATGAAAGAGACACACATCAATGGGGAGGAGCCTTCAACCCAGGTACCTGCCCTTGAGCAGAATCGAACCGGAGACCCTTCAGTCCACAGGTCAATGTTCTATCCACTGAGTCAAACCAGCTAGGGCTTTTTAAAGAATATATATGTATTTTTTATTGATTTGAGAAAGAGATAGAAACATCAATGAGCTCTAACCGGTTTGGCTCAGTGGACAGAGCGGCGGCCTGCAGACTGAAGGGTCCCAGGTTCGATTCCGGTCAAGGGCATGTACCTTGGTTGCGGGCACATCCCCAGTAGGGAGTGTGCAGGAGGCAGCTGATCGATGTTTCTCTCTCATTGATGTTTCTAACTCTCTATCCCTCTCCCTTCCTCTCTGTAGAAAATCAATAAATTATATATAAAAAAACAAACATCAATGAGAATCATTGATGGGCTGCCTCCTGCACACCCCCTATTGGGGATGGAGCCCACAACCTGGGTATGTGCCCTGACTGGGACTCGAACCATGACCTCCTGGTTCATAGGTTGGTGCTCAACCACTGAGCCGCGCTGGCCGAGCTGTGCAGATGCCTTCTGACCAGCGGCCAGCAGCTTGGGCCGACTGCACTCGGAGCCTGGGGCACCGCAAACTCTCCATCGAAGAGTGGCTCACCCCTGCAGCAATGCCCTCCCTAAATGTGTGCTGCATGAGCAAGAGTGAGGAAGCACAGGAAATGCGGAGTCTACGTGTATGTGCTGAGGGACAAGGAAGGTGATGCCCCGTGAAGTGGGGAGGCCAGGACGGCGCAGTGCCTCGATTGGTCACCAGGTGGCGCCCGAGCACGCCAAGCAGATGCTTCCCAGAAAGGCCCAGGTGTGTTTGGGGCCCAGGGGTTTCAAGGAAGATTGTAGCAATGCACTCAAAGTCTGCGATCTTGCACAGATGAGCCGGCCTGTATTACCCACGGTTCTCCCGGGAAACAGCCAACAGGACATGTATAGAAAGAGAATTACTGTGAAGAATTGGCTCGTGCATTGCCAAGGCTGCAAGCCCAGAATCTACCTACGGTGTGGACCGGCAGGCTGGAGACCCAGGAGCACTGATGGTGCAGGTGAGGTCCAGCCTAGCTGGTTCGGGTCAGTGGAGAGAGCATCGGCCTGCACACTGAAGGGTCACAGGTTCCATTCCGGTCAAGGGCAGACTCATCCCTGGCCCCAGATGCAACCAACGTGTCTCTCATATCCATGTCTGCACCCCCCCAACCCTCCGCCACCTCTAAAAATCAGTATGAAAAAAAAAGATGAAGCCCAAAGGCCATCTGCTGGAAATCCCTTCTTGCTTTAGGAGCTGGATCTTTTGGTTCTAGGCAGGCCTTCAACTGATTGGATGAGACCCCCCCGCATTAGGGAGGGCAACTTGCTTTACTCAAAGTCCACCAATTAATTTCAATGCTAATCTCATCCCCAAACACCCTTCACTGACACTAAAACTCATCACTGCACACACCGTGCCGTCGGTCCAGAGTGGCGATGATCTTGCTTGGAGAGACTCTCTCCCTCTCTCCTCTTTCATGGAAACCAAAGGTCACATTGGTCAGTGTGTCCCCTCCACATGCATCCCCAAGAGGGCAATGCAGGGAACGCGACCCTTGAAAGTGGTTACAAGTTAACTTCCTGGAGTCACTATCCTAACTTGTGGGGCTTAAATACACTGTTTCTTTCCCTCTCTCTAAAAGTCAATGGGAAAATATCCATCAACTGGTGAGAATTTTTTATTTAAAAAAGTAATTTAATTGGAGAGGAGTGAGTGGGAAGACTCTCAGCCAAACACAGCAAAGAAAGTCAGAGGCGGGAGAGCCAGCAGCAGCCTCGCTAACTGGAGTCATGTTTACATCCTGGTGTCAAGGGGAATGTTGGCTTTTGTAGAGGAAGTCTCCCCTCCCCGCCGTGGGGTGGACGGGCTCAGCGGTCGCGTACGGGAGCCCGTGCTGGGGGAGGCACGCACTGGCGGTAGCTAACTCGCCTTCTTTCATAATTACTCATTATTCTTCGTGCTGTTTTTAAACTATTCTCAGGGGGTAACCTTTGATCTGTTTATGCATTGTTGGTTTGCATAATAAGAGGCCTGTGTGTAAAGCTAAATCAGTCCATTTGTAGTAAACTCACAAAACTCCTGGAGGCAGAAAACATATCTAGTCATGATGAGCTCTTAGCCCTTTCCATTTAGTTCTGGAGGGTCGTTCCCACAGGCCTTTGACAGATTTACGGGTCTCCCCCCTTTCAAGTTCAAAAGCAGGAACTCTGTGCTCCTAGAAACAGGACCACGCGGGGCCCGGCCAGCATCAGCCTCTCAGGGGACAGCTGAGCCGGAGGAGAGAGCTCGTCCCCAGGAGCAGCTGGCATTTCAGGTCCACCCTCCATCGCTCAGGAGCCACCCTGTGAAGGCAGCCCGGGACGTGG